ATTAGTGTTGTTGTTGTGATTAGTGTTGTGTTGTGATTAGTGTTGTTGTGATTAGTGTTGTTGTGATTAGTGTTGTTGTTGTGATGATGTTGTTGTGGTTAGTGTTGTTGTTGCTGTGATGAGTGTTGTTGTTGTGATTAGTGTTGTTGTTGTGATGAGTGTTGTTGTGATTAGTGTTGTTGTGATTAGTGTTGTTGTTGTGATTAGTGTTTTGTGTGTGATGAGTGTTGTTGTGGTTAGTGTTGTTGCTGTGATGAGTGTTGTTGTTGTGATTAGTGTTGTTGTTGTGATGAGTGTTGTTGTGATTAGTGTTGTTGTTGTGATTAGTGTTGTTGTTGTGATGAGTGTTGTTGTGATTAGTGTTGTTGTGATTAGTGTTGTTGTTGTGATTAGTGTTGTCGTGTGATGAGTGTTGTTGTGATTAGTGTTGTTGTTGTGATTAGTGTTGTTGGGATAAGTGTTGTGTTTAGTGTTGTTGTCATGAATGTTGTTGTTGTTGTGATGAGTGTTGTGTTTAGTGTTTGTTGTTGTGATGAGTGTTGTTGTGATTAGTGTTGTTGTTGTTGTGATGAGTGTTGTTGTGGTTAGTGTTGTTGCTGTGATGAGTGTTGTTGTGGTTAGTGTTGTTGTGATGAGTGTTGTTGTGATTAGTGTTGTTGCTGTGATGAGTGTTGTTGTGATTAGTGTTGTTGTGGTTAGTGTTGTTGTTGTGATGAGTGTTGTTGTGATTAGTGTGGTTGTGGTTAGTGTTGTTGTGATGAGTGTTGTTGTGATTAGTGTTGTTGCTGTGATGAGTGTTGTTGTGATTAGTGTTGTTGTGGTTAGTGTTGTTGTTGTGATGAGTGTTGCTGTGATGAGTGTTGTTGTGGTTAGTGTTGTTGTGATGAGTGTTGTTGTGATTAGTGTTGTTGCTGTGATGAGTGTTGTTGTGATTAGTGTTGTTGTGGTTAGTGTTGTTGTTGTGATGAGTGTTGTTGTGATTAGTGTGGTTGTGGTTAGTGTTGTTGCTGTGATGAGCGTTGTTGTGATTAGTGTTGTTGTTGTGATGAGTGTTGTTGTGGTTAGTGTTGTTGTGGTTAGTGTTGTTGCTGTGATGAGTTTTGTTGTGATTAGTGTTTTTGTTGTGATGAGTGTTGTTGTGATTAATGTTGTGATTAGTGTTGTTGTTGTGATGAGTGTTGTTGTGATTAGTGTGGTTGTGGTTAGTGTTGTTGCTGTGATGAGCGTTGTTGTGATTAGTGTTGTTGTTGTGATGAGTGTTGTTGTGGTTAGTGTTGTTGTGGTTAGTGTTGTTGCTGTGATGAGTGTTGTTGTGATTAGTGTTTTTGTTGTGATGAGTGTTGTTGTGATTAGTGTTGTTGTGATTAATGTTGTGATTAGTGTTGTTGTTGTGATGAGTGTTGTTGTGATAAGTGTTGTCCTCACTCCGCACGTACGGTGGTGCCAAAGAAGAAGTTCAACAAAGAAGTTCAACACGCACACACACAGTGACTTTAACATTTGTGTAGTGACTTGTAGCGTCACTACTGTGGATAGGCCTCGGCAAGGTAAGGTAAAAGTTAAAAAGTAAAAACGAGCCTACCTTTACCCTACCTTTTACCTTAACACAATACAATCACTCTACCCTACTTTTTACCTTTTAGCAGGTAAGGTAAAAGGTAAAAAGCAACGAGCCTACCTTTTACCCTTACCCCATATAGATTACCCAATTACAGGGTAATTACTAGGGAACTACTACACATGAAAAAGGTTTATAACGGTAAATGCTGGGTAGAGTGCTTTATTAATATAGATTACTCTCGATGATCCCAATTTTGCACGCTTGTTGTTGTCATTGTTGTTGTCGTTGTTGTCGTCGTCGTTGTCGTCGTTGTTGTATCCTCAAATCTTGTAACTACATTTTTACCCAATTCCTAATGTGGTATCGACTGCAAACTTGGTATACTTATGTCATACTGATGACAACACTATATTCTATGATAAAATACTTTTATATACGTGTAATAAAGGACTCTTCCACTGTGTCTGTTGTCCTTTATTTGGGTTCTTACAACTTTGCCCCACACGGCCCTCGCTCAGAGCCTTCCGCTTGGCAGCTTCACAGCTGCCGTCGCTCACGTAGCCTTTTCTCCCCGCTCCCGATGCAGCTCCGCTGCAGGCTTCCCTCTTAGCCTCTCCACCCTTGTGCAGTCTCTCAGCTGCTCTCCCTGCAGCCCCACCGCTGTTCTCCGTTCCACCCGTGCCCGGACACCGCTGGCCAACGGTGCCGAGTCCCACCGCGTGGCGATCGCGCACCTCTCTGCCCTCTGCCCTGCGTGGCCTCCTCCTGTCTTTATTCTCACACTCTCCTCCCGTCTCTTCCGGTTACCGCCCTTAAGAGCTTACCCCTCTCCCCCACGTGACCTAACCCCTCCCCCCGTGACGTCATATCCGCGAGGCCGTTTATGCCCGCATTACACCACCCTCCCCCGTGGAAAAAATTCCAGCCGTCCACGGCTGAACAACAACAACAACAACAAGTAATGCGAGCGACCAGCAACCATTAGACATGCAAGGACAACGAAGCATACAATGAATATAACAATAACAACAAGAACAGTATCAATCAACGAAAAGTAAGGGACTTCGACCGCGTGCGGGTCGCCGGCCCGTCTCGGACGGGCGGCGGCCCCCCTGCAGACCGAGAACGTAAAGGGGTTTTAGGAGCGACAGGATCAAAACTTCCTGTCGCTTTTGGAGGCCCGCCAACGCCACGGTCCCGTTTCCCCGAAGGGCCAGAGTCCGGGGTGTCCCGCAATCGTGTCCGCGGCGGGGTCGGAAGGGCGGCGGGGCTCGGCGTCCCCGCAGCCGTGGTAGGCCCACCCCGAGCAGAGTCCTCTGTCTCCTGCAGTGTCACGGCCGGCTTGTCTGTAAAAGGCACGACAGGCGCTCTTGCAGGGTCAACAGGCACAGGCAAGGGTGCGTCGGCAGCAACAGACCCCGGCAAGGCAACATCAGGAGATGACGCATCCGTTTGAGGGGCCACATATGGTTTCAAGCGAGACGTGTGAACGTACCAACGCCGAGATCCGAACCGAACACGTGCAGACTGTGGGTTGGGAACCTCGATGAGCCGAACAGGCCCTTGCCATGGTTTATGTAATTTAGGGGAGGTCCCTGGCCGCACCTGTGGGCAATGCAGCCAGGCCATGTCCCCCACCTTCCAGGGGCACTTCCCCTTAGAGCGTCGAGCGCACCGTTCGTTCCGGGCCTGGGCTTTGGCCGTAGCCATGCGGGCCCCTTCCCGCGCCTCAGTGACGCGGCGAACGGTGTCCTGAATGTAATCAGGAAGAGGCTTAGTAGGTCCCCTCACTCCTGTTCCCAATTGCACATCCATCGGCAGCACGTTTTCGCGACCGTACATAAGGAAAAACGGCGAATATCCTGTAGACGCATGCGGCATCATGCGGTATGCCGAGAGTACCCCAGGGATATGCAAATCCCAATCCGCTTGTTTTTCACTCACCGTGTGACACAGCATGGCGGACAAAGTCCGATTCAGCCGCTCGACCATACCATCCGTCTGCGGGTGGTAGGGAGATGTCCGGATCTTTTTAGTTCCCAGAGCCGCGCACACTTCCCCCAACAACTTTGAAGAAAAATTCCGGCCTTGATCCATGAGGAGCCTCTCCGGCGCGCCCTTGTCCATAATGTACCCGAATAGAAAGGCGTCCGTAATGGACGCCGCCGACTGGTCGGGCAAGGGCCAGGCCATCGGCCAGCGGGAGAAGTACTCCACCCCAACTAGCAAGTATTTATTACCTTTAGCGGATGGCGGGAAGGGTCCCAAAATATCTAACGCCACCAGCTCATTAACTCGAGACACCCGAATAGACTGTATCGACGGCACATATGGGTGTTTAGGCGGCTTCCGCCGGGCACAATCGGGACACGCGCGAACGTGCCCGACGACATCCGTTGTCATGCCGTGCCAAAAGTAATCTCGCTGCAACGTCAATAGGGTCTTCTACACCCCCAGATGTAACAGCGTGTCGCAATGCAGAGTCCTAATCAATTCGTACCGCAAGGATGCCGGTACCACAAGACGCCAGCGTTCCTGTGTAGGGGTGTTAAAGAGAGGGCCCGTTATGCATGGCAGCCTATGGAAAACAAACACAGTGGGCGGGGCTACGTAAGTGCACGAGGAGGTGCCCTCTACGACGTCCGAGCCAGACACCCTGGGGGGGGCTGGTTCGAACGTTATGATCCCCCGGGGCCCCACCCCTCAGGGAGGGGTTGGGTATAAAAGGGGATGTTCAAAGGGCTCGAGTCAGTTATGTTTAAGCTAAGGGAAGAAGACTGAAGACGTCTTAGATAGAGCCCTGGACTCCCCTAGTTCGATGTCCTTTTCAGGGCCGGACAGGACTGAGCCAGCGGCGTGGTCCCGAAAGCCAGAGCCGGTGCTCTTGTAAGAGCTGGTCTGGAACTCCGGGTACCGGGCCCGACTTACCAGTGTCGGGCCAGTTAGCCTCCCCTAGCCCATTAGTGGAGGATTCGGGGCTAGGACAGAGTTAGCTAGGGGTGTATCCCGAGTTATACGGGTGAGGGGGCCGATACCCCCTCGAGTGTGTATATGCCCACTGTCGTATTGTGAAATAAATATACGTGTGCCTCAACCTCGGCGTCAACCGTCTTCACCGGTACTTCAACTGGTGTCAGAAGTAATTCGAACATGGACACGCGGAAAACAGCGCGGGCCAAAGTACCGCAGGAGGAAGACACTGCCGAGATCGTCGAGCCCGAGACGGCTCCACAAGACAAGGTGCAGCCGGGGCCTGACGCCTCCTTACCGGGGCATCGAAATGAAGAGGGGCCGCAGCCAGACGCGTTACGGCTGGCTCACGGGAGGCTGGCGGAGCTGCTGTATGCCGCTGCCGCCACGCTGGAGACCATCACGCGACTAGGGGCCGGTGATCCAACACGGGGCGAGGCGAGCCAACGACCAGGGCGCCTTCCCGCCATTTCGGAGCAGTCCGAATTTGAAATTCCCGCCATCGACGCTACAGCTGTTCGGGGAGTGGCCAGCCTAGACATCCGCTCCGACATCGCCGTCGCTGAAGCTGCAACGTCATCACAAGCGCGACAGGCGATCCCATCGGCCGTTCGCACCGACGCACAGCCGAGTGGTGGTGACATCAGCCTGCGGGAGTCCACAACGACCGCTGCGCTTCATCAGAGACTGCCCCCGCTGAAGGAGTTCATCGGCGCGGAGGGGGACTGGGCCGGTTTTCGCCGACGTTTCCTCGCCCATCAGGAGATGGCGAAATGGTCCGATGAGGAGGCTCTCTGCGCGCTGCCGGCGCTCCTCGACGGCGACGCGCTCGCCGCCCTCACATCGGCGCCGAGAGAGAAGCGGTCTACGTTACCGATGGCACTACAGCTGCTGAGCGGGGTCTATGGACCATCGGCTGAATGCCGACAGCAATTTTACGACCGCAAGCGGGGTGAGAAGGAGTCGCCCCTAGCATATCGGATGAGCCTCCTGGCGATGGCTAAGTCGGCCTTCCCTCGTATGGACGTCGACGGCGTGGACGCGATGGTCACGGAGAAGATCCTCCTCCTGGCAGACGACCTTGACATCGCGGTCGTCGCCCGGGAGGACGAGGAGATGACATCGCTCCAGGCGGCGCGGCTCCTCCACGCCAACCTCCTGTCACTGCGGCGGAAAGCCAGCAGGGCATCGGCGGGGCGTGCGGTGGCTGCAGCCACCATTCCGACGGAGGAGCTCTACGCCGTCGACCACCGACCGCAACAGGCGACAGGAGCACGGTCGGGCCGGGACGGGCCGGGCCGTTTCAACCATCCGTCTCCTCCAACGGCGCTCCCGCGGTGTTTCAACTGCGGCGTCCGGGGCCACGTCGCCTCGGGGTGCCGCGCTCCTCGACAGCGCGGGACGACACCTCAACGGGACGACGGGCCTCATCACAAGCTCCACCATCATAACCCGGCGAGTCGCGGCACCCCACATGTTTGGCCCACGCACACACCCGTCACGCACTCAAACACCGCAACGAGAGGGGGCCGATATCGCGCACCATCGCGCCATCACGCACCACCCCGGGTACTCATATCGAACCCGGCCAGTGGTCCGTGCTGGCCGATCGTGTGGTAGCCGCATCGTCGGGGTCGTCGGCCGTTGTGGGGCACATCGACGGGGTTGAAGTGCGCATCCTGGTCGATACGGGAGCATCGGCGACCATTATTTCGGAGTTGATTTACAATATTCTCCCTGTCCGGAGTCGTCCTTTGATGCCCATTCTATGCGGCTAACGGGGGCTCACTTGGCATCATCGGACAAATTCGTGCCCAAATTTGTATTGGGGATATTAAATTGTCTGGGCCGATTTTTGTTTCCTCCTCGCTGGCGGTTCCGTGCCTGCTGGGGACGGACTTCCTGGCCAAAATGCCGATTAGGATATTGATCGACCAGGGATGTATTGAGCTCCCGTCGGGCAGACGCATGGCGTTTCTGCCATCGCCTGTTACGACTCGGACGGCGTTCGCGACGGTGCCGGCATTCGTAGAGAGAACGGTGCGCGTCCCTCCGGGGGCGCAAATGTTGATTCCCTTGAAACTTCGGCGGCCCTTCGCTAAGGGTGTTGGGGCCCAAGGGGTTCTGCTGGGGCCGTCTAGGGCCAGGGTTAGTGGACCTCATTTACTTCCGGCCCAGACCATAGTAAGAGGGGACGGTGAACCCTTCATCGCGGTCCTCAATGTGGGCTCGCAGACGGTGGTGGTCCCACAGGGGACCGTGCTTGCTCACGCAACGCCGGTGCCATGTGAGGAACCCGTCGCAAATCACGTCAGCGTTGTCCCTGCGCCGCGACCGCATTCGGACAGCGATGAAGGGTGGCTCGAGGCGCTTTGTGCGGGATCGACGGACCTGTCAGATTCAGAGCGTCAACAACTTAAAACACTACTGCGGGAATTTTCCGACGTTTTTAGTCGGAATAAATACAATTTGGGTTGTACTCACCTGCTGCGTCACCATATTGACACAGGTGACAGCGCGCCAATTCGCCAAAATCCATTTCGGTTGAGTCCCGCCGAAAAGGACCATGTCAAATCGGCTGTTGATGACATGTTGGCTGCCGACATCATTTCTCCTTCCACCAGCCCTTGGGGAGCGCCGATCGTCCTGGTTAAAAAGCAGGACGGTTCGTTGCGGTTTTGCGTTGATTTCCGGCGTCTTAACAAAATTTCGGTTGCCGACGCATACCCGCTCCCTCGGATGGATGAATCGCTGGACGCCTTGGCGGGAGCGCGATTCTTTTCCACACTGGATTTACTTTCGGGATTCTGGCAGCTTCCTCTGGACGATGATTCAAAGCCTAAAACTGCTTTCCGTACACCGCATGGCCTGTTCCAATTCAACCGGTTGCCGATGGGCTTACACTCAGCGCCGGCAACTTTCCAGCGTTTGATGGAATTGGTTTTGGCTGGATTGCAATGGGAGTCGTGCCTCATTTATTTGGATGACGTTATCGTCTTTAGTAAAACTTTTGACGAACATCTCCAGAGGTTGCGGGCGGTTTTCCTAAAGATGCGGGCTGCTAATTTGAAATTCAAGCCCCAAAAATGCCATTTGTTGCGCGATTCGGTGCGTTATTTGGGGCACATCGTGGGACGCTCAGGTATTGCTACCGATCCCGCCAAAACGCAGTGTGTCAGCTCCTGGCCGACTCCCACCTCGGTGGGAGAGGTCAGGAGTTTCATTGGGTTCGCGTCGTATTACCGACGGTTCGTCGCTGATTTTGCGACAATTGCAAAACCCCTGCACGCTTTAACATCTAAAGGGGTTCGGTTCCACTGG